TAGTGATTCAAATCAGTGGAAGAGACCCGTCCGCTTCCCTTGTGCTCCCCAGTGTTTGTTGGCCGGGCCACGAGCACATCCTGCAGCCCCCCATGCTAGCTGCTGGCTAAGGGGGCCGCAAACACCAGAAACATTTGGAATCAGCAGTCGCTGGGCACAGAGTAAGGTCTAGAATAACCAGGTGGATTGTTTTCCTCTGGCCCTGACAGAGTCAGAGTCTTTGAGAAATAAATAGATGATTGTAGCATGGGGCCACATGTCCTGAAATAGAGGCATGTCTGAAGTACTGGCGGCACCAATGGGAGGACTTTGTTCTCCCTGTGGGTGGGGCCAAGCCAGAGATCACCTGAACTGGACATATAGGAGTTCACTGACTCAGCATGTGGGGTGATGGTGAACGAGAAGACCAAGAGCCATGCCGCTGGGCATGGAGTGTGGGGAAGGACATCCGTGCACTGCCGTGGCTCAGGCCCCTGTGAGGAGCTGCGGTGCAGATGGGCCTCTTCCCTGAGCTGCTGGAGTGGAGTGGGGCGGGCTCACTGGGTGGGTGTGGCACGCACTGGAGAGAGGCCCCGGATGAACTGTAGAGGAATGGCCACGGTGCTCCAGACAGAACGTCCACGGACACACTGCGTGTGTGCAAAACCACAGAGGAAAAGCCATGCTGAGCGCACCGGAAATAACGGGGCAGAAGTGGAGGAGAGTGTGGGGCCGCGCAGCCCAGAAGGAGCACTGCGTGGCGTGGCTCCCCGGGCCGTCCGCCGGCAGTGGGGTGCTCTTCCAGACACAGACACAGGCGAGGAGGCCTGTGCACTGAGCCAGGACACCCCACATACCCCAGTCCTGTGGCAGAGCCGCCGCTGGCCTTGGTGCGCAGCCAGGTCTGAGAACCATGGAGACCAGGGAGGCGCTGAGCGCCTGGCTGCCCGGTCTGCGGGTGGCAGAGGCCCTGGGCGCCAGACAGGGGCTGACTCACATTTTCAGGGATTGTGTTAACCACAGACTTTGAGGATGAATTAAAACAGGGAAGGCTGAAGTGTTTGGAGAACAATTGGCCCACCCAAGGGAGAAGTAAGTGGGAGGAGGTGCAGGCCTGGACACTGGGGGGAGGATGGGGGTCGGCAGACAGAGTGGGGACTCGTTAGCTGCACAGAAATCTACCAAACCCTGATGAAGGACGTGACAGTAGATAAACCCAGGGGTCCCATGTTCATGGATGGGATAACACTGTAGGCCAGTCCTGCTCAAAGCAGCCTGCAATTCCAGCCCAAGCCACACCAAAAATCACAAAATGTTGCATAAATATGGAAGAAAATCCACCCTAATATTCATATGAAATCTCAAAGTACCCCCAAATAACCAAAATAATCTTGAAAAAGAAAAAGAACATCCAGATTTGGTGGCACAAACCTGTAATCCCAGCACCAGGGAAACTGAGGAGGAAGATTACGAGTTCAGTTCTCATAATCTTCCTGCCAGTCTGAGTTACATAACGAGACCTTGCTTCAAGTCAACCAAAAATAAAGGAAAAAATTGGAAGTTACATGCTTGCTGATTTCAACCTTACTACAAATTGTAGTACTCAAGACTAGTGAGGGGCAGGCATTAAAAGAAGATGTAGCCACGTACCAGTGGCTCACGCCTGTCCTCCTAGCTACTCAGGAGGCTGAGATCTGAGGATCACAGTTCAAAGCCAGCCCGGGCAGGACAGTCCATGAAACTCTTATCTCCAATAAACCACCGAGAAATAGGAAGTGGTGTTGTGGTAGAGCACTTGCCTTGAAGAGATGAGGGACAGCACCCAGGCCGAGAGAGAGAGAGAAAGAAAGAAGGAGAGAGAGGGAGGGAGAGAGGTGTCTCGTGGTCACAGGCCTTCCTCACATTTATGGCCACATGACTTCTTCTTCTGTGGGTGGGGTGGGGTAATCGTGGCAGGTGAACCCAGGGCCATGTCCTTGCTAGGCGTGTGTTCTGCCATTTGAGCTGCGCCCCCAGCCTCTTTTGCACCAATCGTTTGGGGAGAAGGTTTTGTGGTTTTGCCCAGGTGTGTCCTCAAACACAATCCATCTGTTTAGCTGGGATTATGGGCATGTGCCACCACACCCAAAAAGTGGCTTTTTGACCAGAGTGCCTACACCATTTAATTGGGGGAAAGGACAGCCCTTCCAAAACACGGCGCTGGAAGAACAGGATGTCCAAATGCAAAAGACTGGAGTCACACCCTCGCCTGTACCTCACACAGAAATGAGCCCAAACAGAGTCAAAGGCCTAAGTGTGTTTTAACACTAAAAACACAAGCGAAAAGCCTCTGACGCTGGATGTAACAGTTTTAGATACAGCATCACAAGCACAGAGCAACAAATGGAGAAACAGATGAACTGACCACATCAAATAAAGGCTTCTTTGCAGCAAAAAGACACAGAGGTGTGAAGAGGCCAGCATAGAATAAGGAAATACTTGTGATTGCACATAGAGCTCCAACTCAACAGCCAATTAAGGATGGGCCAAAGACTAGATCAGACATTTTTCCAGAGAGGATCACCGTGGGCCGCTCAGCACGGGAGACACAACTAACATCTGTACGCATGAGGAAATGGGGACTGGAGCACGGTGAGACCTGCCTCGCACCCCGGGGACAGCACCGCTGCCACGGAAGCGAACAGAGAGGAAGTGCTGCGAGAGCCGGGAAGCGGAGCCTGGGCCCTGCCAGGGGCCGCTCCGGGCACCTGCCAGGGGACGCTCCGGGCACCTGCCAGGGGACGCTCCGGGCACCTGCCAGGGGACGCTCCGGGCACCTGCCAGGGGACGCTCCGGGCACCTGCCAGGGGACGCTCCCGGCACCGGCCTTCTGAAAAGCAGCACTGTGGTTTCTCAAAGAAAATGGAAAGTGGAATTTCAAAGAGTGCCCTAATCCAATTTCTGGGCATCTTCGCCGAAGAACTGAAAACAGCTCATCAAGAGGGATTTGCTAGCAAGGTTTGGTGGATGGGTTGTCTCTTAGATCTGGAGACAGGATCTTAGGGCGTAGCTTCGAGGGTCCATTTGCCTCAAGGCCTCTTGCTTGGCTTGTAGCTGCCTTCCCTTGGATGTGCGTGAACCCCCCTCCTGTCCCCCCCCCCCCCCCCCGCATTGGTGTGGGGCTTAATCTGTCCTTCTAAAGACCTCAGTCCTGCTGGATTGGTGACTGGAAGAATGATGGTATTTGGCTACATCTAGGAAGTTACAACAATCCTAGCTACTCGAGAGGCAGAGCCGAGGATCTCAGTTAAAAGCCAGCCCAGACGCTCTGGTCTCCCTCCAACCAGCAAAAAATCTGAAAGTGGAGCTGTGGCTCAAACGGTAGAGCGCCAGCCTTGAACAAACAAACTAAGCATGAGTGTAAGGCCCGCGTTCAAGCCCCAGCCCTAGCACACACACGCACACACGCATACACACAGTCCCGTGAGCTAGGGCTCCTGTCACCTAACACTACTTACGGTAGCCACAGGCAGGAGGAACTGTCCACCCACTAATGAATGAATAAACAAATGTGGCTGTCCACACACCAGACGTGCACTCAGCCTTCCATGGAAGGTCATTCCCACGTGGGCTGTAACAGGACCTGGGCTGGGTGAACCCTGAGGGTGTTCTATGCCATGGAATAAAGGGCAGATACTGCCTGGTGTTGTCAGATTCATAGGAGGTGGGCCGGTGGTGGCCTGGGCCTGGGGTTTGGGGGCGCTGATCCGGTGTTTAATGAGTCTGGAGTTTCAGCCTGAGCATGGCTATGCTGAGATGGATGTGGTGATTCGCGCAAATGAGCCAGCCAGCCCACCCCTTCCCCACCGAGGCTGGTCTCCACACCCCCAGCCACGCAGCCGCGTTCCCAAAAGCAGCCACCTCCCCCCACCACCCCACGGGGGAAGAGGGGACAGGAGCAGACAGAAGCAAGGAAGGAAGGCAGTGCAAATAACCTGGCGTAGCTTATGAAGGGAGCATTGCCTAGCCTGGCCCCGGCCCAGAACTGAAGGAGAGAGGAAGGGAAGGAGGGAGGGAGAGAGGGAGAGAGGGAGGGAGGAAGGAAGGAAGGAAGGAAGGAAGGAAGGAGAGAACAGGGAGAGGGAAAGGGGAGAGGGAAGAAGGAATGAGTTTTTTAAAAAGTTTTGATGATGCATTTTGCTATGTGTATTTTACCACAATTATAAGAACATTTTACCCTGGGAGCTGTTGGCTCACTCCTGTAACCCAAGCTAGCTGAGATCTGAAGATCACAGTTCAAAATCAGCCCAGGCAGGAAAGTCCATAAGGCTCTTATCTCCAATTAACCACCAAAAAGCCAGAAGTAGAGCTGTGGCTCAAGTGGTAGAGAGCCAGCCTTGAGCAAAACAAACAAAACCCCTCAGGGAGAGCGCCCAGGCCCCGAGTTCAAGCCCCAGGACTGGCATAAAAGGAAACAAAGAACACGTAGGGCGCAGGGCAGCGTCTGCTTGAGGCTGGCGGGGAGCTGCTGGGGGCTCGAGGAGGAGCAGGGCCGCTGGGGGACAGCCACCACATGACCGCGCACCCACATCTGCACCGACCCCTGTCCTCCCGTGGCCACCGTAATCCTGAGCTTTATAAGACTGCTCCAAGATGCCCCAAAGCCCAGTTGTCTCCCTGCAAGTGTGTGCGTGTGCTTGTGCACACACACAGGTGCACACACATGTTGGACCATATCAGGGAGGCCGCACGGAAGGTTGGTCACCAGCCACTGCCCGCGCCCCGGGACACCATGCCACCCGCCTCTCTGGCCTCGCCCTCCCTCCTGTCTTCCCTCCCTGGGGGTGGGGGTGCGGGCCACTCCTGGACACTTGGTTGCACATTCTGGAAGGGAACGGGGGGAGGGGCCAGGTTCAGTGGGGTGGCTGGCTGGCTGCCATGTGTCCTCTTCTCCAAGCCCCACTCACATCTCTCCTGGCCAGGTGGCATGTCGGGGGGGGGGGGCATGCAGCCATTGACTGTGTTTTCCCTTCTCCTTCCAGGACCTGAGTTCCTTTGCCATGCCACTCCTGGATGGAGAGCTGGAGAGCGCGGAAAAGCATTCCTCTCGCAAGGTAAGGCCTGCTTTCCCGAAGCTTCCTGCTCGCTTCCGCCCAGCGCCTCCTCCCCTACCTGCGCCAGGCCCCTTCGGGGCTTCCCACCGCTTCCTATCTCTGGGCGGACTGTGGCCCCTGCCTCCCAGAGTAGGCAGAGTGAAAAGAGGAAGCCTGACCACGCTGATGCTAAGTAGCAAAGAAGCTGTAGAAAGCTCTAGAAGATTGGAGACTGGCCGTGGCTTTCTGCAGATCTCCACCACAGACACAAACTAGAGTTTGGCCCGCCCACCACGGCCAGGCCTGGCTGGCTCCTCTCGCTGCCCCCTCCTTTCCAGCTCCCCAGGCCCCCCTCAGCTCATCCTCCACCCCAGGACCCCCGTGCAGGTGAGGGCAGGCGTGGTCTGGCTGCCTGCAGGGTGGCCGCCCAGTCCCAGCCAGCCTGGGACTCAGACGGGGATTCCAGTGCTGCAGACAGCGACTGTATGAATGTTGTGCAATGGGATCAACAAGTTGTGTTAGGTCCTCGGGGCCCTCGGCACAGTGGCCTCAGAACCAGCTGGGTGGCCCTGCCACAGGAGGCCCAGCCCCGGGGAGCGGCTGGAGCGGCAGGAAGCAAACGCCGCACTCGGAGCCCCTGCACTGGGCTGGGCTACTCCCGTGAAGACCCAGGAGATGCTGAGTCGCAGCTGGAGGGGAGGCGGGATGGCGCCCTGCTTCCCTGTTTCTTGGGGGTGTCAGGGGCACTGGTGATGGGGTCTGTGCATCCCCACACTAGGCCTGGCCGACCCAGCGGGCTTGGTGGAGGAGAACTTAGCTCCGGAGACGGAGACCGACAGCCCCAGACAGACACGGGGGAGCATCGCACCTTGCGCAAGCAGAGCCAGGGTCTGGGGGTGGCTGAGGCAGATGAGGGCCGTGGTGGTGAGGCCGTGGCCATGTCTGCCTCTCGGGGCCTTGCTGGGTTTGTGACTGAAGGGAGCCTTCGCATCCATCCCAGGGGACCACGCAGAGGCTGGCAGGCACAGGAGAAAGATTATTATAAGGTTTATTAGAGGAGCCATATTTGCCCCAGTGAGAGCACATGGCAACCTCCACTACCCAGGTAGCAACGGGGTCTGGGGGTGGAAGGGAGGTAGGTGGAGCGCGAGTGGGTCTGCGTGGGGAGGGGGAGGGGCCAGCTGTACGGGGAACTCCAGGGCAGGGAGAAGCTCAGGTTTGGGTGGAGCTGTGGACCAAAGGTGGGCAGAATGCTCCCAGTGACCCAGCCCACACGTGGGCTCCAGTGGGCTCCACTCACATAAGCGTGGCTGGGCGCAAAGCTGCACGAGGGTTCACTGTGGAAGTCGAGATGCTGCTCCTCGCTCTGCTTTAAGTTCACTGAAGCCCAGCCCGCATGGTCGGCCCTCCGGCTGGTGGAAATGCCCCCCTCCATGCCCCATGGCTCCCACGTCCGCTGCCTCCCTGTGGTCCTGGGGCCACGCAGCCCAGACGCTGCATTTGTAGGTGAGGAGGTAGACTGGAGAACCGTGGAGCACGCTGCTGCTCCATTGTTGCTGGGTGCTCGGGCCGGTGGACAGCCTGCGGAAGGCACTCGCACCGGCCTGGCCCCACGGGGACGCTTCGAGTCCCTTCCAGCTTGCTTCTGCCTCTTTGGTCAGTGCTCAGATCCCCACCCGCTTCCAGACGCTGCCCCTTCCCGCAGTGGTGACGGACCGGCTAGCTCGGGCTGGGCATCCGCCTGGCGGCCTGCACGCGGCAGGGCGAGCCTGGCTTCACGGCCGGGCTCGTCACCACGCCACACTTGGGCTCCCAGGTCTCCTCTCCACCCTGTCCCAGGAGGCAGCAGTTCCTGGTGGCCTGAGTCACCATGTGACTTGTCACCCAGCTCCAGGGACCATGGAGCGCTCCACACCTGCCCCCCTTGGCCAGATGTCCTGGCATGCGTATTTGTGGTTGGCTATGTAGACTTCCCAGCTCCTCTCCTGAGAAGATCGGCGCTTAGAGCACCCTTAGGACCCAGCGCAGGCACCTGCCTGGTGCTCACGGTGCCCGGGGGCTGCATTTGCCGCTGGATTGCAGGCCTGGCCTGTGCCTCCCTCCACCCCAGCAGAGCTGCCTCTACCCCGGCTCCCCGCCCTCTTCTCCTTCCCTCCAGCTCCAGTCGTCGGCTGTCCTGTCTTGTCAGCCCCCACGGGACTTGCTCTCTCTCAGGCCTGCTCTTCCCTCAGATGGGAAGGAGGAGACAGAGCCTCAGGGGACCAGGCCAAGCCTCACTTCCTCTCCGGTGGCCTCCTAACAAATGGCCCTGTCCGGGAAGCAGAGGCCTGAGTGCTGGCTGGCCATGAGTGCGTGTGGAGCCAGGAGTACACTGGGGATTCTCATCCACACCCCAGGAATCTGCCAGTCACATTCATTAAAGTATCATGTTGTCGTGGCTGGCCTAATGGCCTGGACCAGGGCTGTCGCAGGTGGCTTGCGGGGCGCCCACCGTCTGCACACCTCTCCCGCCCCTGCACCCCTGACAGACAGTCAGCCTCCCCCCTTCCCCTCACCCTCCGCAGGCTCTCCCAGGCAGCCACCCTGTGGAGGCCCAGTGTCCACTCCGATGGCTATTGCAGTTTCAAGAGTGAGTGGAAGCAGGGGCTGCTTACTGGGCTTCCTCAGGCCTGATGGCTGAGCAGCTGACTAAGACTCCAAATATAGAGCCAAGTTCTGTTTGGTGTGGTCCAAGCCCTTCATGGCTGGCTTCCTGGCAGTACTTGGCTCCCAGCAAGGGCAGTGCCCGGCCGGCCAGCCTGGAGGGCAAGAGCGCCCTCTGGTGGTGGGAGAGCTCCAGTGGCCCGGGTCAGGTCAGCACCTTGGGCCGGGTGGAAGTGCTGGGGACACCCCTTGACAGCTCTGCCACCCAAGAGCAGCCTTTGCAGGCTCCGTCCGGTCCTCAGAGCCTGTGACAGTCACTTTGCTGAGTTGGGTCCGTGAGGCCCCTCAGCTCCAGTGTAACGAGTTCTCTAGGACAGAGCGGGCCGCCACATGGCTCGGTGATGGCCGTATAGACGCTGAGCTGACGTCCCGCCAACCCTGCCAGCTAGGGGATGGACAGTGGTCTTCCCTGTACCGATGAGGAAAACTGAGGCCTAGAGGGCACAGTGAGGGGCGGCGCTGAGGTCAGAGCCAGGCCTCAGGCTGCAGCGTCTGGTCCTCTGACCCCATGTGGCTGCAGGGGTGAGGTTTTCTCAGACCAAGGGTCCACGCCAAAGCTCCGGGACCCGATCCCTTTTCAAACCATGACTACAGTTTGGACGTGACTGCTGTCTGCTGCCTGTCTGCACATGTCCCAGCAGCGTGCAGTGAATTACCCATCATCCCATCATCTTCCAGAAGCCCTCAGCATGGGGCGTGAGGCTCACTGCATTTTGGATTACAGGCACTTGAGCTTTCTCCCTGAAGAAGACTAAAGCATGTCCCAGTGTAGTAAGGCCCGGGAGGGACTAGGGAAGGCCTGGGGAGAATAGCAGAGGGAGACATGGGACTAGTCAAAGGAGCTGCATTTGAACACGCCCGCTCCACTCCCTGCCTCCCTCCCCCTCTTGCCTCCGGAAGGCCTTTCTGGAGATGGGGCCAGGGTGGTCATGGGGTCTCCAGGATGAGCTGCTGGACAGCCAGGGCCAGGAGGTCCTCCAGCAAGTGCTGACCCTCCAACCCAGTTGGTGCCCACCTGTGTAAGAGAGACCAGATTGCTCAGTAGAGCAGTAATGCACTGGCAGTGCACACTTGTAATCCTAGCTGCTTGGGAGGCTAAGATCTGAGGATCTGGGTTTGAATCCAGCTGGGCAAGAAAGTTTGAGACTCTTCATCTTCAATAGACGAACAAAAGGCCAGAAGTGGCGCTGGGGCTTAAGTGGTACAGCACTTGCCTTGAGCAAATGAAGCTCGGACAGCACCCAGGCCCTGAGTTTGAGCCCCAGGACCGGCACAAAGATTATGATGATGATGATAACATACATTAAGGACAGGACAGGTCCAGGGCAGGACAGACATTGGCACCCAGAGTGCCCGAGGCCTCACGCTTGTCTGTTTCCACAGGTGGACAGCCCCTTCAGCTCGGGCAGCCCTTCCCGGGTGCTCTTCTCCAGGGGACCCCAGCCCTCCAGCCCCGTGTCGGCTCCCGTGCGGCCCAAGACCAGCCCCGGCTCTCCCAAAACCGTGTTCCCGTTCTCCTACCAGGAGTCCCCGCCCCGCTCGCCACGGCGCATGAGCTTCAGCGGCATCTTCCGCTCCTCCTCCAAAGAATCTTCTCCCAACTCCAACCCGTCCACCTCGCCCGGGGGCATCAGGTTCTTCTCCCGCTCCAGAAAAAGTAAGACATTGGTGCGGTGGTCTCAGGTGTGTGTTGGGCTGCTGGGGACCCCGCCAAGTGGCACTAGAGCCACCGGCGGCATGGCGTGGCGTGGTGTGGCGGCGCTGCAGCCGTGGGGTCTGCTCGCCGTGCTCTGCAGATCCCGTTCTTCCCTCTGGCTGGCTGTGCACCCAGCCCTTCTGTAGGGTGCCCTCTGTCTGTGGGGTTAACTGGAACCTTCTGGGTGCTTCTAAAGACACCTAGAGCACACCCAGGTCCCCCAGGCGGCCTGGTGTGGCCCCCACCCAGGGTTTGCCCTCTGAGCTTTGTAGTGTTGACAGTGGAGCGTGGTTGTGTCTGGGGCTGGGTGTGTGTTGGGGACAGGGGTGGGGTTGGGGGGGGCAAGGTCTGGGACTTATTCGTGGTCTGGCCACTTTGAGCCTAGTGGATTACAGTGGAAGTTAAAGGCTGACTGGAGTGGGCTGGTTTCCTCCTCTTCCCTTTCTTGTTCTCTTCTGCGCCCCTGGGACAGGTGATGGGGGGGGGGGGCGGGGGAGGGGGGAGGCTCCTCTCCCTGCGCTGTGTTTGCATGCGGGAACTGCTGTGGACTCCCAGCTGGATTAAACAAGAATGCGTTTCAGTCTTCCCGAGCTGTCAGGGAGGGAGGAAAGCTCTTTTTTTATTGCATTGTTTTTGGGGAGAGGGGTTATTGCTCCCAGTACCCCCAAACCTCCCTGCAATGGCAGCCTCTGCGTGAGTCTCGTTGTGAGCACACAGGACCATGGTGAGGTGCTGCTGAGGGACCCCGCAGCCCCTGAGGTCAGCAGGACTGGGAAAAAGCCGGTGTCTGTCTGCAAAGCTGGCAGAATGTTCTAGACAGCGTCCCAGGAAGTGTGGCACACTCAGACACAATTGTCGCCCCTCAGTGTCCACCTAGGGTTCTGGGCCCCTGCAGACGCCAGCAGAGGCAGTCAGGTCCCCCTCCTGTAAAGTGGTATTTGCATATGATGTGTGTAGCCATCTCCTGGGCTTTAAATCCTCTCTTGATTGCTTAGAATAGCCAACAGTACAGAAATGCTATGGAAGCCGGGCGCCGGTGGCTCACACCTGTAATCCTAGGTACTCAGGAGGCTGAGATCTGAGGATCATGGTTCAAAGCCAGCCCCAGCAGGAAAGGTCATGAAACTCTTATCTTCAATAAACTACGAGAAAACCAGAAGTGGCGCTGTGGCTCAAGTGGTAGAGTGCTTGCCTTGAGCTGAAGAACTGAGGGACAGCACTCAGGCCCAGAGTTCAGTCCCCCACTGCCAACAGAAAGAAAGAAAAGGAAGGAAGGAAGGAGAAGGGAAGGGGAAGGGAGGGGAGGAGAGGGAAGGGAAGAATTTTGTGGAAAGAATTGTTCTATTAACCAGCCGATCACCACTGTAATCCTAGCTCTCTGGAGGCTGAGATCTGAGTATCTCAGTTTGAAGCCAGCCTAACCAAGAAAGTCAGAGATTCTTATCTCCAATAAACAACCAAAAACAAACAAAAAAAGGGAAGTGGTGCTGTAGCTCCAGCTGTAGACAGCTAGCCTTAAGCAAAAAATCTCACAAACAATGCCCAGGCCCCGAGTTCAAGTCCTAGGGCCAGCATGTGTGGGAGTTCACGCACACACCCATGTGTGCGCTTGCGCGCGCGCACATCCTCACGCACACACGCATACACTCACGCACGCACATGCACAGTGTTTTACAATACATGGTTTTAGAGAGTCATGACAAGGAAAAAAAAGAGGCTGCACAAGTCCAGCACAGACGCTTCTTGATTATGTTGGACGCGGCTGACCACACTCACATGGGTCACGCAGATGGCCGCCGGCTGTGGTCTGTGTTGTGGCACCCATAAGTTTCTTAAAAGGTGGCTTCGCCTCCTTTGGGGGTGGCAGAACAGGCTGATTCTCCTCCAGGCTATCTGAGGAAGCATCTAGAAAGATTTGGCAGAGGTGAGGAGGTAACTTGAAACAACCCGAAGTCCCGGGGGAGGTGTAGCAGGGTCCGCTCCCTTTGGGGGCCAGGGAAAGGTGTACCCCAGGCCCCTTCCCTGGAATCGGTGTGGTTGGCACGCTGCAGGGATCCTAGGCCTTCTGTGGCTCACGGATGCACAGCTCACGTCTCTGCTTCGCTTTTCCTTTCCTTTTTGCTTTGTTCTGTGAGGGTGCTTGTGTTTTGAACTCAGGAAGGCTGTCTTCTGTGTGGGCCATGCTCTTTTTGCTCTGGTGAGTTTTGAGATGGGTCTCACTTTTTGCCGCGGGCCAGTCTGGACTACAATGATCTTATTTACATGTCTGGCTGTAGTACATGCCACCATGCTAAGCCGAACTGAGGGTCTTAAAAGCTTTTTGCCTAGGCTAGCCTCAAACCATGATTCTTCCAACCTCCGCCTCCTGAGTAGCTAGGATTACAGGAGGTGTGGGAGTTTGTGAAGCTGCGCACAGAGGAAGGAAGAGGAGGAGGCACAGGAACCGGGAGTGCTGGGGGTCACTGCAGACGGATGGTCCAGGTGGAGCTGGGCGGTGGAGGGCCATTGGGCTCAGCCCAGCCTGCCCTGACTCTGGGTCCCCCAAGGAAAGCTGCTGTCCAGCAGAAGCAGAGTCCCAAAAGATCTCCTCTTGAAATCATGCTAGTTTCTTAAAAGATTCCTTCTTTAATTGTCTGAGACATTATGATTTGTAGATTTTCATCCTTTTCCTACCATCTTCTTTTAGACACTGGCAGACTTACAGACTGATTGAGAATAAAAGCTAGATTTTAAAAAATAATAATTAAAGCTAGAAGGGAACATGCAAAAACTGTGAGTGGAGAAAACAAACGAAACGCTTATAGTCATTTGAACCTACTTATAGGAATGTATACTTTGTGTACACGTGTGTCCATGCGTGTAGATGACATGAACATATATTTATATATATATATATTTATATTTATTGTATGCCATGTGATATCTGAATGATAAGTATGTGTTGCATGTATATGTATGCACACACATATGCACTATGCATTGTGTGCATCCCAGTGTGCACGTGTGTACACATATGTATGATGTGTGCATATATGGATTGGGTGGGTGTGCATACACATGCACTGTGCATTGTGTGCATTCCCATGTGCACATGTGTACACACACATGATTGTGTGATATATTGATTGGGGTGTGCACACATATGCACTGTGTACTGCATGCATTCTCATGTGCACATGTGTATATGTACATGTATGGTGTTTGTGTGTATATGGATTGGGGTGTACACACCTCTGCACTGAGCATTGTATGTGTTCCCATGTGCACACATATGTATGATGTATGTATATGAATTGGGGTATAACACATGTGCACTGTGTGTTGTATGCATTCCCATGTGCACATGCGTGTACACACACTATGGTGTGTGCATGTATGGATTGGGGGTGTGCACACACACCTTTTTAACTTTATTTTGGTGCTTCTGGGGTTGAACTCAGTCCCACACTTGCTAGGCAGGTGCTCTGTCACTTGAAACATGCCCCCGGCCTATCCTGCTTTGGTCCTTTTTAGGACAGAGTGTGGCTCTGATCTGGGCTGACATGCTGTAAGCCTGAGGCCTGTGGCCCTGTGGCCCCCAGCCACAGGTGGGTGGGCACATGGGGTGGCAGAGTCTTGGCTCTTGGCTGTGACGTAGGTGGACTTGGGCACAGGTGAGGAGTGGGGGTGAGCACAGGAGTGCACCACATCCGGAGTCCATCCTGAAGGACGGAGTGAGGCCTCGGTCCTCCTCCCTGTGCCTGGACAGCCTTACTGGGAGTGGGGATCCCACTCCAGACCCCCAGGCCACATGCTGGGCACGAATGTGCCCCTCGGTTTCTGCCATGGACCGCATTTACCTCATCCCAAGTCAGCAAGGCAGGCACTGCCTGGGGTGCCTGGGGTGAGTTAGGGCCACATGCACCTTGCAGGTCTCCCGGGGGCTCATGGTTGCTGGGTATCATGGCCGACACTGGGTAGAATGTTACTAGGTGCTGAAGACAGGCCAGGCTTCTGGCTCTCTGGGCAGGGGCTCCTGCTGCCTGGGCCTCCCACATTCTGCCAGCAGAGCTCCTCAAGACTTCACCATCTGCCGAGGCAGCCGTAGGCTGGGCTCAGGAAGGCTGTGAATTGGCTCCAAACTGGGCTCAGGAGGGCTATGATTGGCTCCAGGCCGTGCTCAGGAGGGCTGTGCTCTGGAGAGCTTTGATAGGCTCTGGGCTGTGCTCAGGAAGGCTATGATTGGCTCCAGGCCATGTTCAGGAGGGCTGTGATTGGCTCCAGGCCATGCTTAGGAGGGCTGTGCTCAGGAGAGCTGTGACAGGCTCTGGGCTGTGCTTAGGAGGGCTGTGATTGGCTCCAGGCCATGCTCAGGAATGCTGTGCTCAGGAGAGCTGTGACAGGCTCTGGGCTGTGCTTAGGAGGGAGGTGATTGGCTCCAGGCTGGACTCAAGAGAGCTTTGATTGGCTCCAGACCATGCTGGAGGGCTGTGATTGGTTCCAGGCCATGCTCGGGGGGAGGGAGGGAGGTTATGATTGGTTCCAGGCCATGCTCAGATGGGCTGTGATTGGCTCTGGGCTGGGCTTAAGAGGGCTGTGATTGGCTCCAGGCCATGCTCAGGAGGGCTGTGATTGGCTCCAGGATGCTCAGATGGACAGGAACTATGTTGGTGGGAATGGGTGTGGAGCTGGGGAATTTTGCTTTTTCAGAGAAGCCCCTGGGACCGGGGTGTTAAGACCAGAATAGTCTTGTGGCTTCTTCCCAAAGAGACATCACTGCCCCAGCCCTGCCCCAGACCTAGTACCAGAGGCCAAGTCTGGACCAGAGGCCCCACAGTGAGGCTGTCCCCCCATTCCCCACCCCCCCACCCCCGTCCTACACAGTCCTGCACCGTCCCACACCATCCCACACCATCAGGGTAGCAAGCTTTTGTGCTGGCGTGGAGAGCAGACAGCTGAATCTGCTTTCCCTACGGCATAGA